ACTACAAAGTATAACAGTGATATCAAGTCATTCGAATAGCCTGACTATATATCGATCAATTTCAGCTTGTGCTCTTTCCTTTCAAATTTTTGGTTACTCATTATGCAGAAGTTTTAATATTAGTTATATCGTTTCAAAAATTCTGTACCAAGTGATATGGGACACAGTGCAACGCACGTGTTCAGAGACTAGTATATATTAAAAGCACAAAGACCCTTAGCAAAATGTTGTTCGCCTTTTTAAAAATAGATTCCATACTAGATAAAACGGTCATTTAATTATTTTTCTTATATTTAGGAGTTCAAAAACAAATAAATTTTATTTATTTTTGATTTTTTTAAACTTTAAACTACATAAAAGGTCCTAATATTTAGGACTTCAAATTCAATTAAAAGTTACTTTACTTCAATTCTTTCCTTAAACCAACATTATTTTCTTATGGACTTTAAACATGCGTTTGGAATTTAATGCGTATTCTTAGCCTCTGATATATATAATTATTAGTATCTTTTTCTTTTACAAATATATTAAATAATTAATTACCTGAAAGACATCACCAATGCATGTTAAATTTTTTCCTTTTTCCTTTTAAAGAGTTTTGATTTTAACTTTAAGTACGTATAAATTTCTAGAAGTTAAAATTATTAGTGGTAATGTTAATTTTAAAAATAAATTAGTCTACATCCATATATGTAAAATTGTAACTATAACTGATATTTAAACTTTAAATAAACTAATGTACTTGCAACTTTGAAATAACTATAAATTTAAAAATTTGTCCTCAGTGAACTTAATTTTAAAATTTCAAAATTGTCAATGATAGAGTTTAATATCATTTGTTATAAAGTAGTGTAACCTTACTTTTCTTACATAAAATATTTATTTTAGAATCTTGATAATTAAAGTTAGATTAAATTTTTGTATTGTCCAAAAAAATAGAAAACTGATTTATTCCTTACACGATGATTAGCATAAAGTTTTTATACTTTATTTGTATCAACTGAAAGACTGCGCGCTTAGTTGTAAAAAAATCAGTTTGTCCAAAATTGACAATTAATTATTTAATAAGTAATTTACTATTTTCTTGTATTATGATATTATAAATATATATTAATAAAAGAGATGTTGCGTAAGATATAACAACATAACATATTTTATATTTTATATAATAATAATAATAAGAATAATTATAATAATAATAATAATAAAATCTCTACTCCGTATAACTAATTCAACTAAATTCATCATCTTAATATAGTTTGGAGGTATTGACTTCACCTATTGTATTAATGCAATAACATTCATTTGATCATTTGAACAAATATCTTTAGTTTAACATCAGTTGCTATTTTTTAATAATTTATTCTTTTTACACGTTTTATACTAATTGACGCGATGTACACTTGCAATACACGTACACTAAAACTAATTATTTTAAGAGCGACTATACGGTGTTATTTTCCCACTAGCTTTTGCAATTTCAACTAGTAAATTGAAATGCTTCTAAAAGTTGGTACGCCCTATTTAATAAACGAGTTCTACAATTATTATTCTTACTAGTATCTATGAACGTGCGTTGCACGTTAATAATGACACGTGATGGTTTAAACGTTTATTTATATGAAAGAATAATAAAATTTAATTAATGAGAGTAATTTTATGCATAATAATACAACAATCATCTAAATGCCGAAAAATATCGTTACATTAGCATAATACATGAATTTAAAATAAAGGGACAGCATCAAAACTTACAAAAATGGTCAATTTTGTCGTGTTAGATAATTTTTGTGAATAATATTTTTTTTGTGTATGTTACCTCCTAATGCTTTGGTTGATTTGCCTAAATCTGAATTCTTGATATCCCTCTTGAAAGTGTAACATACTGTTGTTCGTGCAAGAAAATATATTGCGGTAAATATAGTCTAATATTTAGGATGTTTGTCCTTGTATATTTATTATATTTGCAAAACATAAACATACTAAAAATTATTTTCATATAAATTTAAAAGGATATTCCTTAGTTCCGGAAGACGAAAGTTGAATTAGGGATAAAATTATACTTAGAAGCACAATGACCAGTATCATAATTTTTGCATGTATGACATTATTGTGAAAACTTCTAAATACTATCTGTGTGCTATTACATAAGTTATTCGGTGTATCTAAGTTTTCGGTAGCATGACGGACATATTTTTCTTCAAAATCAACCTATATATAATAGAAGATCAATTTTAACTTAGTCTATAATATATGCGTTGACACTAACATACGTAAAAAAAATATTAACCTTGACAACAAAAATGTATGGTAGAAGGCCATTTGGTATTAAAGTATTTAAGTATATTCTTCTTGGTAGTAATTATTGGTATCATTTCTGCTGAGTCAAAAATTAAAAAATATTTTGTTTTTACTATAAAATTTTGCAATCCACCTTTACTTTAGTTGATCAACATATTCATTTCTGCTAGTTAAGATATCTTTTTAATTCTATCATGTGATTTGCACAATTTGCGTTTTAATCTAATGATAGAAATATTTCTCTTATTAAATCCACTATTATTACCATTGGAGTTGATAACCAAGTGTTCAGGAAGAACCAAATCATCTTTTATTGGATGCTTTTCTTCATTTTCGACACGAAGCAAGAAGACACTAAATCTTGATATGTTCTTACTTTATATTTCTTGTGAGTTGAATCTTTTTCATTTAAGGCCAAAAGTATAACTTTGGCAAGTTAGTTATGTTTTTGTCGATTTTGGAACTGCCTGTAGTACTTGACAGAAATCACCTCCCAAACCATTAATTTTCCACCAAACGGTTCATTAATATCCAATATATCTCTAGAACTCCGGGCAATTATTTCGATCATTTGACACTTAGCAATAAGTTCTTCATCCCATATTATCAACTTTGCTTTTCTTATAAATTTGTGATGGTTATTTAAATTGTTTGAAGATGTATATCAAATCTAAAGTGGGTGGCCTCATAATAAAATCGTTATTGGTACATCACTTGCTATTATTGTTAATAGTGTCATGTCTCTTGATATGATATTTGCAAGTAATGCGTGACATAAAAATATTATTTCGATTCCACCGGAGGCATCTACAAAGAATAATCCTGTTATACCAGAGTCGAATCTTTGTAATATAGTCTTGAAAACTTGTTCTTGTTTAAGATTTAGCTTTGATTGTGTTTCCTCAGACACTTGTATAACATTTTGATTCTTAATAATATACTAACCTTTTAAATTTATGTACCCTAAAAAAATTTTAAACTCGAAGAAGAATTTTACTCATGAATTTAAAAAATAATTGAATTGGATTCTCTTGCTAAATAATTAATTAAAAGATCTAATTATTTAGTTTTAATATAAAAATATTTTATTCTATGTTGATTCAAATCTTAATATTAGTTCACCTCTTGTTTCGAATATCATCCACCATAATTTTTTTTTCAAAGACTAAAAGATTGATCTGACATTTCGCGTTTAGATCTTTATGTTTGTAGAATCATTAGTGGTATTGACTCTTACCAACCATTTTTCCCCTTTTTCTCACATATTTATATTCTTAAATATTTTCTTAGTTGTTGTTTAATAATTGGATATTTTTCAATATTACAAGAAAAATTGATTAAAAAAATATTATCTGAGTAGGAACGTAGTTCAAATATAATATAAAAATATATTATCGTGGGGGTATTTTTATTTCTTCTCAATTTTAACTTTTTATGCAGTCCATTTAATATTATCTTTTTGTGGGTATTGGACATTATGGAGTGGTAATGTATTGCCAATACAGAGGATTAATTTTTATGAAATTAATTTTATTAAACGTTCCTACATATTTATAATAAGAATTTAATAAATAGAATTTTATTAATTTTAAAATCTTAAATATTAAACATTAGCGTAGAAGATATTGTAGTCCAACAAATAGGTTATTGCAGTTATGTCTTTTTCCTATGAGTTCTTTCATTTAATATTTTATGGTTATTTTGGTCTATTTGTACTATTATTTTGATAATAATATAGGCTCTTCTTTTTCTAAATAAATTTGGACAGTATAATATATTCTCAAATTAAATTAGTAATAGGACATTATAATACATTTTCAAATCAAATTAGTAATAGAAATTTTTAAGAAGTATATCTTAAAAGTAATAAGATTACATAACTAAAAAGACGTATCTACCCCGGATGTAATTTATCTATCTATATCTATCTATCTAATATCTATATCTTTCGATGGATAATCCTATGTTGGATAAAATTATCAAAGTTAAAACTTTACCATATTAGGACTTTAAAATTAATTGCAATTATAATTCTAGAATGAAATTTGCTAATGGCCTCAATTATTTTTTGTGCGTAAATTTTGAACAATGGCAAAAGGTTGTAGCCTATCACTAATTAAGTTAGAAATAACTTAATATTAAGGACCTTGAAGTGAGTATGAATATATTACCACTTTAAACTTGACATTTTAGTCGTTTTATGATAAATGGATTTTTTAAAATACTATTCGAAAGTTCCTTTTTTTTTATAAACGACATGTAGGTCCCACAATTGTTTGAAGCTTGCTATACAGCTCCTTTTAGATTTTTTTGTACTTAAATTATTAAACAAACCATAAAAGATGTTGAGATGTATGTACAACGTGTAATATTATAATGGGCTAATGCGCTCGAAAGTAATTATACTATAGGATTTCTAACGTGTAGTATTATGTCCTAAAACTAACAAGATTACAAGGCTAATGTCTAGAATTTCGGTTATGTCCTTTTATTGTGAGTTATTATGCTTAATATTATAAGGTTATTTTTGTAAACCGACATTGTATTCATACTTTCGTAACAATATAGATATAGATATAGATATAGATATAGATGTAGATGCGTGCAAAATTACTTTTGCCTAAAGCGGCAAAGCCCCACATTTCCCCTCCATGTATTTGTTCGGGGAATAAATAAAAGTCCAAATTTCTACATTAATTTTTTTCTCATAAACCCAAAACCCCATTACCCTTTAAAACCTTTTCAAATTCCCAAAACCCCATTACCTTGTTTCTCTCTTACCTTCCCCACAATCAAAATTCAGCATCTACACAATCACATTAGTTGTACCTCTATTGCCAGTTACAGGTACTTTCTTCTTCTTACCCTTCTTGATTCTCTCTTATTTTTTGCCTATCTTGTAAAGTAAAGCTTGTGGCCCTTTTCCTTTTTTTCTTTTTTTAAGGGTATCTTTTAAAGATAAGCACTCAACCCACAAGCATACATGTATCGAATTTCTAAAACAAGTTTTACTTTTTTCTGTCGGCTTTTTTGCTGACCCAGAAATTAATTTCTTTGCTTGTAAGTTATTGGACTTGTTTTCTTTTCTTTTTTTGTTGTTGTTGGGGTTTGTTATGTAGGAGTGAAAGAATGATCGTTTGATGTGTTATGCATGTAATCTGCACTTTAGAAGCAGAATTTTCATTATTCGTATAACGTTCCCATTATAAATGCAGTAACTTTTCTGTCGTTTAATGAACATGCTGCAGTCGGAAAGTGTAAACATGTACTGACTTCTCTAAAACTGGTTGAATAAAGTATTAACACTGGTTGGAAATTGATTCATTTGTCCTGCTGGATTGTTGGCAACCGAATGAGTATTCGAATCAAATTAGGAATTTGTTACTTGTATTTGCTATTGTACTATGTTCTTGGCCAGGATTTTTATATCATTGGTGCTCAACTAATTTTAGCCTGAAAATGCTAACGAGATTAATATATTTGTATGTTTTACTAGCTTTTCTGTTTAAATAATAGCGCCTTTTCAGTGTAGGAGTTGAATTGGTCTAAGTATTCAATTCTTCCCGGCAAAACTATGGAAACTGGAAGAAACCCAGCTAGTGGTCCAAAAAAATCGCCTTTCACGCCTAAGGCTATCATACATCAGAGATTTGCTGCTAAAGCTTGCTATAAGGTCGAGGAAGTTCAAGAGGTTGTACAAAATGGATGTCCTGGTTTAGTGATCCCTCAGAAAGGTCCTTGCCTCTATCGCTGTACTCTCCAACTTCCAGAATTCTCTGTAGTCTCTGAAGCCTTCAAAAGAAAGAAGGATGCTGAGCAATCTGCTGCTGAGAAGGCTATACAAAAGGTTTTGCCTTTTTCTCTGTTCTTGAGCTATTTAAATATTTGAAGGAGAAGAGCGAGGCTTTGCCGTAGGAGCTATTTAAATATTTGAAGGAGAATAGCCTAGTACAAAAGAAAAAAACTAACACTTGGTAAATTGGGTCTCAAGGAAACAACTTTTTTGCTTTCCCTTTTTTACTGATAACTCAGGTGGTAGACCCCAACTCTTAATCATAAACCATCCATTTCACTTAAAGTTTATCTTTACTAAGCATGCTCTTATAATGGGTGCTGCAAATGTAGTGGACAGTCGATAATTTTATCTCTCTCAGGTTGTCGCATAGATCTAAAATGTCCGTGAAAAGTTCATCATTACCTCATGATTGTCATTTATCTGCATGCTTTTGTGATCAGTTTTAACATATGAAGTTGACAAGTTCCAATTTTTCTCTCAGATTGGAGCTTAGATTTTCAAATGTGAAATGCTAATGCATTAATGACTTATGGTTGTTGTTTATCTGCAGTTAGGCATCCAGCCTAAAGAAGATAATCTCAGTGTGGAGCAAGCGTGGGATGAACTGGCTGGTCGACTATCATATTTATTTTCAATTGAGGTATGTAACCCTATTAGTATTAATGTGATGATGGAATTCTTCTTGGAGTCAGCTGCAAGATTACAAAGTTTCACTAGCCATTGAGATTAAGTGAGAACTTTGACTTATATACATGTTTGTCTGCGTAAGAAAGTCTTTAATGAATTATTAAAACTTGATTGTGAAGCTGGTTATACAGGGTATTGCCAGTTTGTCGTGAAATTTATTTTCTATAAAACAGCAAACAGTGTACCAAATATGTCATTTTAGAGATTTTTTTTTGCAATTTAAAAGTCTTTCCATGCTATTTGATTGTTTGTAGAGTCTGAAACATGATGTTTTTGTGCTTTATTGAAACTTGCCCAAGGTTTCATTAGAAAATATAAAATTTCCTATGGTTTCATCATATATTTTGAGACATGTTCTTATAAACAGTTCTATTGAGTTTGTGAGATATTTAATGCTCATAAAGGTTCATTAATTTTTTTTTATATTTTCATTAAGTCAGCCTCAGTAGATAATAATTACTGAGTTTTTTGGTTGTAGGATCAGATGATGTAAACGGATTCACTAATTGGATGTAGTTATGTAATGCATTTTTTCCTGCAGCTAATGAACTACCTGACTTAATGTTATTTACGGTTCACTTTTTTCGTTTCCGGTTGTTGATGAAAGTTCTTGCCTTCAATTCATCCGCTTAGCGGTCACTTCAGAGCAGCGTTGCAGAGAGGAGGTCACCTTAGTGGATTTATTCCTGTAGCAGCTATTGCTGCGTTTGATGCTAAGATTAATAGCTTATGTAAATATATAAATCCTGAAGTGGAGTCGAATCACTTTTTGGTGATGTCACTTATTATTGAAGCTGCTAAGAGGTTAGCGAATACGCTTGTGTTCTCTGAGGAGAAGCTTTCATTGCAGAGGCTAAATCCACACCCTCCTGAGATTATACAGTCTTTACTAAAGAATGAATCTAGTTTCCCAGAGAGCATTTCAATTGAAGCAGTACGTATTCCAGCTTCTGCAGAGAAGATTGTGGAACCTTCAATACTTGATGCCTCTTTTGGCAATTATTACCTGGATGCCATTGCAAAGGAGCTAGGGGTTAAAGATGCTTCTAAGGTTCTGATTTCTAGGTGAGAGAGAATATATACAGAGCACTGAACTAGTACTTTGTTTGACTGGTAAAATGCTGTGAGCTTGACTTGTAACAATCAGAAGTCGGTTTTAACGCAGTATGGTAAGAAGTATATGAAGGAGCTCCTATTCAGTGATGGATGCAGACTTTATGCTGCGAGTTCAACCCAGTATTCTCAATTCAAAGTTTAAATATACATGTGAAGAATCACTAAAAGCTCAACAAATATTAAATCTGCACACAATTTCAAAGTACAATTGCCATTGGGCTTTGGTCTAGTGGTGAGAGCGCAATGCGTGATGTGTAGGTTAGGTGCATGTCACAGGTTTGAAATCTCTGCAGACAAAAGCCTGGTATTTAAGTAGAGAAGGGTAGAGAGGCTGGCTTCATTACTCACCGAGTTTCAAACCATGCACCATTGCCCCTCGGGGATTTCTCTGTTGTCAAAAAAAAGAAAAAGATCAGAAGTACAATGAATTTAGTGCTAATAGCTTTGAAGGTTTAAACCATCAAATTTAAATCCCAGATCCGCCTTTGATTCTATCTAGAGTTTTCTGATAGGTTGTATTGTTCCTTCTTCCATGCTGGTATGTATATACTTGATGCATCTTGGTATTTATTTTTAAGCAAGACAAAATTAATCTAGTATGACCGAAGCTGACACCCTTCATCATAAACTGGTTATGGATGGGTGTTGGAAGTTAGTTCATGGCTGGTTCAATGTGAGCTGTAAGGTAGTTTTGTGGTTTATGTTAGAGAAGGCTGGATCAAATAAATAATTGCTCCCATTTTAATTGAGCATTTCCTGTATCTTTGATGATGAACATTTGTTTTCTGTTACAGGCCTATTGGCAAAGCTTCCTCAGAAACAAGGTTGTACTTCTGTGCTCCAGAATCCATAAAGATTGGCCCATCATCAGAGTTACATATGAAACTAGCTAGTTCATTTAGAGAATTTAATGCCATTGCGACCTACCTATCTGGTCAAGAAATATACGGTGATGCAATTTTGGCATCTGTAGGATACACCTGGAAGTCTACTGATCTTTCTTACGAAGATTTATCCTTGCGTGGATATTACAGGTATGTCCTTGGCACCATTTTTGTGTTTTTAGTCAGCGAAGTCTGGCTGAATCAAAACTGAGTCTGGCTTAATTACAACTGGATTGTCATCTAGGATAGCAGAATTATGATAGCCATTGTAGTGAGTTTTCCCCCTGAGATCTGGGTGTGGTGGGCTAAATAATGGAGAGAGTGAATTTGCATGATGAGTTTAGCGTGCCGAACTCAGGACCTGAAGTCACATGTTGTACTTCAGGAATTTCTTTTTTTTTTCCTTTTGATTTTTTTATTTAATTGTGACACTCAGTTGCTATCATCAATTTTCATAATATTTTTCTTTTCTTCTTTTTGTTTCACTCATAATAGCGGGGTTCATTTTCTTTTCTCTCTTTTTCCTCTCAAGAATACTTGCCAACAAGATACCTAGCGGAATTTACAAGTTGTCAAGAGAAGCAATACTTGCCGCAGAGCTGCCCACAACATTCACAACAAGGAGCAATTGGAGGGGTTCTTTTCCCAGAGATATTCTCTGCACATTTTGCCGCCAGCATCGATTATCTGAACCTGTCTTTTCAAGCGATTCCTTTGAACCTCTGCCAGATTTAACTGGGCGTAAAAGATTGAGGGATACAGCATCAAGTGGAGACGAAATTAATGAAGGTGGTCTTGCTGCTACTGCTACTGCTGCTGCACAAGGAGGATGTACTCTAGTCTATAGATGTACAGTGAAGATATACTCCAAGTACCAGGATTTGATTCTGCTGTGTTCACCAAAGGAATCTTATAAGAAACAGATTGATGCAATTCATAATGCTGCTTTAAAAGTTCTCTTATGGTTGGATAGATTTCTTGATAAAGTTGACATGTCTGTGGAGGAGATGACATCATCTGCCAAGGGACTTGATGTTCTTATTTATCCTCAACAGTTTGTTAAGGAGTTCTCATCATGTCAATTCTTGCCCAAATATCGGTGGAGCAGTGCAACACTAGCAGACAGCTCTCTGTGTTCTAGCTACTCTAATGTACAGAAGAACACGCTTGAAGACGAAGTAGCATCTGTTAGGATAAGTGGTGAATATTCTGGAACGACTCCATCTAATGGTTCTTTGGTGTGTGTGACTTACAACATATATTTAGTCACGGAAAGGGAAGGCATTAAGGAACAGCTTGAAGGGTCTGAAGAGTTTGAGTTTGAGATTGGCAGTGGAGCCACATCACCTGTTCTTGAAGCAGTTGTAACACAGATGTCCATTGATCAGTCTGCATGTTTTACTATGGTATTGCCTTCCAAAGAGATTGTTCTAGCAGTGGCTCGTGATTCTACAACTGTCCTTTCATTATTGTCTTCAGGTAAGTTAGGCAGTTGTTTCCTTTTATTCTGATTTTTTTGCTCTATTTGTGTTGATTTCCATTTTAGAACATGCTTTCCGCAGGACATTTGTCGTGTCCAAACCATATAAAATTTCTGTTGTATTCGAATAATCTAGAGTTTCCTCTCCTCTCTCTGGAGACAGGTACTTGTACAATGAAATGTGAAGTCACCTTGCTGCGGGTGACAGTACCCTTGGAGGATAGAATGGAACAGGCCTTATTCTCTCCCCCATTATCAAAACAACGTGTTGAATATGCGTTGCAACACATTAGAGAATCTTGTGCTGCCTCTTTGGTATAGGACTTTTCAAATGATTTTGCTGTCTTTTTAGATGATAAAAAGACTTGGTTCTGATCTTTATTCGATCACAGGTTGATTTTGGATGTGGTTCTGGAAGTCTCCTTGAGTCTTTATTAGCTTATCAAACCTCTCTTGAGAAAATAGTAGGTGTTGATATTTCACAGAAAGCTCTTGCTCGTGCTGCCAAGGTCTGATGCACTCACAGCCCTTTGACACTGCTTTTCAACTTTCACAATCTCTCTCAGTAATTGTCCTTCAGTTTATTCTTCTCTTTCTACTGTAATTCTTTTTCTTAGTAATGATAATAAGCACTTGTGTATTCTCTAACTTAACTATGTAAGTTGAAAACTGAACTGCAATTCAAGTGAGTGAGAAAAATCAGGATCTGCAATTGTCATCTTATGCCAATCCAATATTTAGATATTATCCTGCGTCGTCAGCTAGATCTAGTTTTGCCTATGCTTTCAGTGCGACATTCTCCATCTTATAGGTAATGACATTATTTTCGGATTGTGAAAGCTAGGGAGATGTTTCCTTATTCAGGAAAAAATTTAACATTCCAGATCAGAGTAATCTATTTTTTTAAACTCTCTAGTTTTATTATCATTTGTTAGATAAATAAATTGGATAAAATAGGTTCATATTATCTTGACATGACTAAAATGAGAATGTAATTGCATTAAATGTAAAAACAGTAAAAGAAAGAAAAAAGGCCGATAAACAAAGAGATATGAGTAATAGCTGAAGTAGCTCCAGCACCCAAAAAAGATAAAAGTAAAAATAAAAATAGAAAAAGAGAGAAAGATGATCCAGATGGTTATATGCCCATTTGAAGGTTTAAGATTTACTTATTGGGAAGACTGATAGCATAATCATTACTTGGGAAGTAAAGGAAATTCACAAATGATTTTTAAAAAAAAATGTTAGTTGAATACATAACAATTATGATTTTCTGATTATGATTGTTGGAGTGAAGCTAATATGAGTTCAGATGACTATTTGAAGGTTACATAAAAAACAGGTAATCACATGTACTCCATATAAGATACTTGGACAGAGAAATGTTAAGGTCCTTTTACCTATCACAAGTAGTTGTACAATTTTATATCCATGATATAGGTTTTCTATTTCCTTATTCTAGCGTCAGAAACTCCGAAGTAGATACCATTTAGTCAGTGGTGGTATAGGATTCTAGAATTGGGAAATATGTTATTGGACTATCATGCGAAAATGAAATAGCTTTTGTGAACTTTTCTCAAAAAAAAAAAAAAACCGGTGAAAAAAGAAGAAACTTTTTCTCCTTTCTCCTTTTCTTTGGGGATGGCAAGCAACTTTGAAGCTTCAGGAATATAACAACATGAGCTTTTTCTTCGACATTCATAGCTAGTAAACTAATGAGGTCAAATATGTTAGTTCAAGATGCTAAGAAATTTCTGATTAGCATAATTCACTTTTTCTTTCTGTTGTATTGACGGAGCTTGGTTCTAAACATTTAATGTCTGCCACATGTGTTGCTGGTGCCAAATTATAATTTAGATCTGCGTTCACCTAAGAGTCTTCTTAATTTCCAGATACTTCATTCAAAACTCAATGGAAATATAGGAGCTGAACAACCTACTAACAGAATCAAGTCTGCAATACTATATGAGGGTTCGATTTTGACTTGTGATTCTCGGTTATGTGGGTATGACATTGCAACCTGCTTGGAGGTAATTGTTTCCTCTTCTAGTGATGGTTACAAGCTTTCCGAATTTCATTTTTTTTTTCTTTCTTTGGAAAATTGAGCTTAGAACACTTAGTTTCATGAAGTATTTGCGTAAAAATGCTTGTGTACCTTATATCCATCCCAAAAATGAAGTCATGGCTGGTTATATCATTCTTTTTTATTGAAGCAGTTGAGAGCAGTGGTGGAGCCAGGATATTTACCAAAGGGGATTCAGAATAGTAAAAAGTAAATACACGAACAAGCCAAGGGGATTCAACATCTACTATTTATGCATAAAAACAATTTTGACCTTATATACAGTATAATTTTTCGGCGAAGGGAGTTTAGGGATGAACCCCCTTCCACCACCCTAGCTCCGTCCCTGGTTGAGCCGGTGAACTTAGTGTCGGGAGATGATCTGTCAACTAGATTGCCCTAGTATGGTTTAATATGTTATCTTACCAAAAAAATATTGTCATAGATGGTTTCGTATGTTAGATGTCATATATAGTATTTGAGGTCAGAAGGTAGATATTATGGATCAACAAACAAAATGTGATTAGAAGTGTTCTGTGGGAGAAAGTAGTTTCTAAAGCTTGTCATTATATAAGTTGGAGATTGGTGTAAGTGAGATATTGAAGCTTTTATGCATTTGTTTTGAAATAGACGTCAGACTGATTTTTCTGTAGCCTTCACATGAATTTGCAGAGATAGACACATTGATTCACATACCAGAAGAGTCTAGTGCCAGTACTCATTAATAAAGAGTGTAAGAGTGCAAATAATGATTTTTCATACTGAGTTTGTGTAATGGGTTGCTAGATCATATGCTATAGTTCTAACCCTTTGTAATGAAATATATTGAAGTGTGTTCTTGATCTTTATGAGCGGTAAGTTTGGTAATTTTATCTTTCAATGGGAATAAAGATATGACAATGATATTTTCAAGTTGCATGTTAGGGTCTATCCACTTAGTAGATTATCTGTTTAGTTAAAAGAACTTTGCCTTGCTAGGGAGACTAGTGATGCATATGATGGTTCCGAAGTTCTTTATTGGCACTTATTGGCCGAATTAAGTATGAAATATTTGGCACCTTTTCCTTCGTGTTTTTCTTTTTGTTACTTATTTCTCTTTATTTTTCAATATGTTTCTTTTTATTCCCATCATTTAGTGGTCTTGCCTTTCCATCGTGATATATTGCTATAGAGTTTTTTAGATAGGTTTCTTCAGTTATTGATGATCCTAGGTTGACACATTTTGTCAGCTCAGGTGGTTGAATGAGACTTTGCTTTTCTGCAGCTGTATATCCATCATCTGTCTTTTCTTTGTTCCATACAATCTGTAAAAACTAGATCATCTATTAATCTTGAAAGATGGGAATTTTGATCAACTATAGGTGATTGAACACATGGAGGAACATGAAGCGTGCTTGTTTGGCGATATTGTGCTCAGGTCATTTTGTCCACAGATTCTTATAGTCTCCACTCCCAATTATGAGTACAATGTGATTCTCCAGAATTCTTCTCCTCAATACCAGGAAGAGGATCCAGATGAGAAGAGCCAGCAGCAATCTTGCAAATTTCGCAATCACGATCACAAATTTGAGTGGACTAGACAGCAATTTTGCCAATGGGCATCTGAGCTAGCTTTAAGGCATAATTATGATGTTGAGTTCAGTGGAGTTGGCGGAGAGCCTAACAAAGAACCAGGATTTGCCTCCCAAATTGCTGTCTTTAGAAGAAAAGATGGCAGTCCCGCGAATGCAGACTTTGCTAAACACTTTGATGTTATTTGGGAATGGAGTAGCAGCAGTAATTCAAGATCTTAACTGTAGATGCTTTCTAACAAGCTCATTTTTTGCTGCATCTTAACTGTAGATGCTCTCCAACAAACTCATTTTTTGGTTAGTCATGTTGATTTCAGAAGTTATAGAAGATTTGCTCATGATTTCTTTTGCTTATACTAAGTGCTGACTGTTCTAGAAAATCATACTTAGTATGCCTTACCTAAATGCGAAGAAATATCTACCCTACTAGTTGCAAAATGATACTAGTTGTTTGAAGAAGAAAAACACGGTACTCCTAACTCATGGCTTAAAATTTATGCTTGAGCTTTAGTTTTGTTCGGTTTTCCTTTCACCTTCACTTGTAGAGATGGCCTGTTGTGAGGTTATACTCATGGTAACTGACCCGTCCGCGTGGAGAAGTTTCTGTTCATCGATAGGAACATTCTTTTTGTACTTGTACCAGTTGGCCCAAAAGACATAGTTCCCAAAGTGGAGCAAGCTGAGGATTGCTAGGAAGAACCAGTAGAAAAGCTCGATATGGTTCTTGTTCATGTCTCTCCCCCGAAGCCATCCTTGCTTGTTGGAAGTGAGATTTGCTTGTTGGAAGTGAGATTTGAAGTGATTGTGTGGATTGAGCTCAACAAAAGCTGACCTCAATAGTAGCCAATGGAGAGTGATAGAAACGAGAAGGAAGTCGAGAGAGATCTCATCCCAGGTGGAGCCTCACTATAGAAGTATTCCATCAGCCCAACGAGAGTGAACATGTCTGCTATCTCAAAGATTGCATAATGAAAGGAGAGCCAGAAAATGCTGGTGCGATAGTTATTGTGGTTGAACTCGTTCTTCCTCTTCACCTCCACGGCGCCTGCAATGGCCATGGAGATAGCTGAGAGGACGAGCCCTACGCCAACCCACTGCAGGTGAGTTACTCCATTGTGGCCAGCGAACATCCTCATTACAGGAACGATGAGGAACTCGTAGATGGGAATGAGGACGGACATGAATACAAGAGAAATGACTGGAATTGAAGCAGCAGGTACGTCAAACTTGCCAAGGCTAGGGTCCATTAGAGTACCTTGTTGCACTGAGATTGTTTGTAGTTGTGCCAAGCATGCGTTCATGAGGATTGGCATCATCCTTTTTAGGATTTTCTCTTCTACTTGAGTGACAATACAAAGCCTCCATTTGAACCGTAGCTTTGTCTAGGGGTGGCAAAATGGATAAAAGAAAGCAAGTAATCACCCATATTATCCGTTAAGATATGGGTTGGATAATGAACATTTTAAAAACGGATAAAATATAGATATTACCCATATCATCCATATTTTAAATGGGTAACCACCGGTTATATGTGGGTAATAAATTCTTCCAAATTAGCCTGCCTAAGCACTGGATGGTGCCGTAAAGGAACAAATTTGCACATGGCAGCAAATTCATATTAGAGGTTGAGGCTAACGTGAAGCCATGGAAGGATAATACGGTTAACCGTTTTATTTGCCGGTTAACCCGTTTTTTATCCGTATTAAATATGGTTCGAATCGGATATTTTACTTGTTTTTGCATTACCCGTATTCGATCTGAACCGACCCGACCGTTTGCCACCCCTAGCTTTGTCTAGTACTCTATTCATGATTCACATGACAACATAAGATCAACATGATTATATAAACCCCTTTGATTTAATTTCATTTCTTGCATTGAACATGACCTTTGATTTAATTCTTTTTTCTACCCCACTTGTGGGAATACATTGAGTTTGTTGTTTTTGTTGTTTGAACATTGTTTTACCCAAAATGTAGATTTAGGTTTAAACAATTATATTTTCTAGTAAAGTAGAATTAATCTTAGCCAATGTCAATATCCAAGAGATGTGTCAACCGATGTTGTGTGGTAAAATGATACGGGTATGATCACAATGGTATTCAATGATCCAAAAAGGAAGAATATATCATTTAATAGTAATAATTAACAAAGAATGTCATTTAAATAAAGAAAAGCATGTGAGTCACCAAAAAAGGGTAAAAATAGCACGATCTAGCTCGTTTTCGGACTGGTCATTCAAAAATAGTCAGCGTTTACCAAGTCAATGAAAAATAGCCACTATTTTGCTGCAACAGAGACCGGTCGAGCATAATATACTGGAGTTCGGTGCACGTGTGTATGAACTTCCAGCATATTATGCTGGACCGGTATACTTTGCTGCCTCTAGTAAATATACTGGAGCACTGGCGCTCCAAACTCCAGTATATTATGCTGGACCGGTATATTATACTGGAATTCCAGTATATTAGACTGGAGTTCCTGTATAATATACTCGAACTCCAGTATATTATGCTGGAGTATTTTTTCGGATTTTGAACAGTGTTTTCGTTTAGATTTATCTTTAGATGAAAAGTGGCTAAATTTCTATTACTTTTGAAACTGAGCTATTTTTGAACAACCACTTGTAAATCTGGCTATTTTTGAATTTCTCTCCAAAAAAGGTGATATTCTTTGATATTCTTTATGATAATGAAGAATGATTGATAAGCTTTTTAATATGAAGTTGTTTTTTCCGAATGCGGAATTTAAGAAATTGAAGAGAACTTTTGACTTGTAAGCCAAATATATATCAAGTAGAGTTCCACGTGTCTTTTCTCTCTCTTTATGAACAACTGAACTTTTATATTGAGAGAATTAATTTGTTTTGCCAAAATGATCCGCTACCAGAAAATGGCAGATTTCCGACCGCCAAAACGGTCGTAAGTCACGTGTTTTCGACTATTTTCCGACCAAAATTGGTCGGTAGGAAAAAAGTTGGTCGGAAAACAAGTTGGGGACGTGGGAGAAGGACAAGAGGAAGAGAGGACCTTGGGGACGAGAGGGATAGACGAGGAAATTGAAAACGGAGGTTATGTTTTTGGGGAGGGGATGTAGGGTTTTTAAAAAAGAATTCCGACCGATTCGGTCGGAATTATTATTTTATTTTTAAAAAAACTTACCTACCAAATCGGTCGGAAATGAAGTCAAACCAATCAAAATAAATTTTCCGTCAAAAGTTGCGACCAATTTGATCGGAAATGTGGTCGAAAAAATTTTAAAAATATATATGAAATATTTTTTTGACAATTCCGACGGATTAATTTCAGTCGGAAATTTCGGTCGGAAGTTAACATTTTTCTAGTAGTGCTCGATCGTGCTTTTGAGGACATATACAAGAACACCTACCATTATGAAGACTCAACACTCCGTCGACAGAAGAAGAAAGACGTTCGAATGGTGTAATTTAGAGGTTTATTGTCTATATATTATATTATATACTACTCCTATACTTTGGAATGAAAGACAGCTTATAAACTGAAAATGAATCTGATTGGATCATCTGCCGTTTTCCAATTTGCAACAATAATATACGAAAAGCAGAAATCTGTGGTTACAAAAGCCACAAACCGGCCTTTGCACAGTTATACAGTAAAGAATTTTAGCAACAATATCCAAAATATCACATTCAACCTTTGGAAAGTCATCCTCATTCATATATAATTCTATAAATTTTTAATCTTCTCTTCTTGTTGCCAAGTCATAACATTCCAACCTATATTCAGCAGTGTAAAATAAATTTTGGTACGCTATCAGATCATCGAAAAGATATCTACATTATACATATAACATTCCATAAGAAATGACCTGATATCATATATAACAGGTAAAGGTGATCTAATAATATAAAAATTCTTTACATAAGGTATACAAGTTAAACTCTATGATTTTGTTCAGTAGTATTACTATGGCGGTATTGTTTTCTCCTTTTTTCTAACTCGTAACCCAAATTTCACTAATCCTTGTTCCAACAATGGTGAGGAAGATATCCGAGCTAACTGTCTAAACGAGAACTTGAATGATGTTGATATGGAGGCTCTCTCACCAGAACTGGAGACCTCCAAATGAGATGACGAACAACAAAGGCGGGGAAAGGAACTTGAAGATGCTAGTAATTGTGCCAGGCAAGTGCACCAAAGTGTCACCTATTTCAGCAATCTGTCTCCTAGAGGGGTAATAAGCTCAAATGTTGGGAGAGCTGTAATGTTCCTGAAGGGAGGCAAAAGAAACAACAAATTGGAGACAAATGGCCTAATATGTGATGTTTCTCATGATTAGTACAATCTCATGGAATATTAGAGGTATAGGCTCTCAAGGAGCTTGTGAAAGACTCAAAATTCTCATACAACAATACAAATTACCATTTGTAATTCTACAAGAGCCAATGGTGAATGCCAGGAAGATTGACAAATATAAAAGGATACTGGGATATCAATCTTGTTTTTCAAATTGTGCCAACAAGATTTGGATATTTTGGTCCTCTGACTATGTGATGGATATTCTGGAGGATAGAGAACAACATGTTCTCTTGCGGATTTCTAACTCTATACTTACTCAACCCTTTTACATTTCTGCTGTCTATGCAAAGTGTGATGAGACTTCGAGATATGTCTTATGGGAGTGATAAGCCACTTATCTTTCAGAAGAAGCAAAGAAATTTAGGAGAAAGATAATTCCCGGAGCTTTCAGTTATTAGAAGTTTATTAGAAGTTATCTGTTTAGCAGTTTTATTGTGGTTATTAGAAGTTATTTATCTTTATCCTAATAGGTTATGCAGTAGTTATGGTCAGCCTATTATATAAGTAATAGATCCTGTAATGTGTAGGTATCATTATCAGAATCAAAACTACTTTATTCAGGAGCATTGTCCTCTCCATACGGACAACTTTATTGGTGTAGTTGTGTTTAAGATTCTTGCACAAACTATTGCGAATAATATTAACTTCTTTGTTCTATTTATTTTGTTATCTACTTCTGGTTTCTATCATTGGTATCAGAGCAGTAAGATCTGCCATGGTGAACACACGAACCAACGCTTCCCACAGTGAACCCACCATTCCTAATCTTGACCCGATTTCCCAACAATTGACGACTATAGCAGCGAAATTGGAAGCCATAGATGCTTTAGCCGCTGATGTGGCTGCATTAAAAGCACAGCACAGTGGAAATCACAACAATAAAGGGAAAGCTAAGCCACACCAGAAGAGGGTGAGGTTAACAGCACTTGGCATCGAGAAACTTTCCGGCGCCCACAGACAAAGATGGAATTTCCAAAGTATGAGGGAGGAGATCCTAGAGGCTGGATTTTAAAAGCAGAGAAGTATTTCCAGTACTATCAAACTTCTGAGGAATGCAAGGTTGATGTG